TCAGCAATTCTCAGTCCCCAGAATTAGCAGAACAAACACACTTGAAAGCTGAAGTTTAAAATACAGCTTATTGCCTATGTGCAGAAGCAACATACACAATGCATCATGAATAGAACCCTTTCAAAATTCACAGTCCATTTTGGTCAATGTCACCATCATAAGATTGAAAAAATAATAAATGTCATGATTTCAGCTATTTAAATATGAAATTTCAGGGAGTGGTTATTGTAGGGTCCTGACTCAAAAAGGACTTGTGAACGGAATGGTTCCGAGCACCCGCCCCCTAAAATAATCTCGTGACCCTCCTGCAACTCATTTTGGGTCAGCACCCCCTAATTTGGGAAATACTGGTCTCCCCAGTGAAATCTGTATAGTGCAGGTTAAAAAGCACACAAAGCGCCAGATTTCCATGGCTGGGAATTTGGTAGGGCCCTAATTATTAACAACACAGTGCCCTCTTGAGGACAAAATGAGAACAATGAAACAATACCTTCAATCTTATACTGTTATTTACACTTGTGTAAATTGAATCCAATGAGGTAAGATGCTTCCAGACCAGAATTTACCATCCAGCTGTGTCACAGGTATAAGCAATGACATAAAGGTGCCGGACCATGGAGAATTACATTTTGTGTTATCAGATGACAGGGATTGACTTTCTGTATGTGTTGGAATAGAGCGTAGTACAGTAAGGTTCTGGAAGCTATTGCAGTTTATATCATGTTCTATTTTATATTTATTAATAAACTACTGCTCCCTTTGGAACTATTAAAAAACTTGCAATACATCTCACTACTCTTAGTAAAATGTTCTCCAGTTTTTTATTGAGCATTCTCAGGTTCTCTTTAGGGTTGTGTATTGCTGTTGTGAGTTGCACACAAGGACAGGATAACAGTTGCTACTAAACCAAGGACATGTACGCACAGCACTAGCAGGCTGGGCGTTCATTCAGATTTCTGTTAAACTGCTTCTGATACCATAAAATCAGAAAAACATCAGAAACATTCCTTCCCAAAGGTATCTATCAAGCACTTCTGTTTCGTTTGTTATTTATCACTAGCGGCAGTCGTATGGAAACCTAATGGTGGTTTCTTGATTACAACTTGATCTTCATGTATATTTGCCAATGTGAAATCACATACTTTTAGTGATAAAAAAGTATTTCTGCAAGTTTTTATGCAGATTGAGTAAAAGGCAATCTTTTTGCATTTCCTGCTGGGCTAAGCAAATGCAATCTAATGATACTCCTCTCTAGAATAAATTGCAAGTGTCAGGTTAGTTTGCTATTCTCACCTTTCAGCTGGCAGACATCCGCTTTGGCTTTTTGTGTAGAACAGTGAAAATAATTGATGTAAAACTACCACAAATTTTATTCCTGTGAAAAAGTGGCTCTGAATTTTCTCCAATTTTTCACCAGTGTAAATGTTTTCATTCTCCTTAGTCAGAATCCTCAGTTCGGGCCATCTGAACCATGAGTGAAGAAACAGACAGCAGGAGCCAGGACTTTACAATGCTCCCACATTTTTGGCATGCTTTGTAAATCACACTAGTGCCTGGTAGCATAATAGCTGCCTGGGAGAGTGCCTTTGCTTTCCCACTCCCTGCCCACGCTCCACTTTTAGGGACAGGAGCACACTGTGCATGACAGAGGGGTGGCAGGCTCCAGCTCACTCGGCCACTGTCCCCAATTGTTGAGCTTGGGCAGGGGCAGGGGAGGGGGAGCATTCTGCTACAGCAGCCAGGTCCACGCCAAATCAGGCAGCATGGCTGAAAAAGGCTCTGGCTCCACTCCTTCTGCCTGCCCTGGCCAGTTGCTGGAGGGGTGTTTGACCCCGCTGGAGATCCTCTTGACCCTTCGTAACCTCCCCTCCCCCATATATGCTGGATCTAGGGGTGCTAAGGGTTCTGCAGCCTCTCCAGGATTGAAGTGGTTTCCATTATATACAGGTTTTCAGTGTGGTTCACCATCCCCCCTGGAGAAACTGTTCCAGCACCTCTGCCCTCCCCACGAGTTGCCCGAATGCTGTAGAACGTTAGAAGAGGCAGCTGTCTCTTCCACAGTGTTTTCTGCCCCTTCCCTGCACTTCGCACTTTGGTTGGGAAGTTCTTTGGGAGGGGTGGCATTAGAACAGTGTTTCTTAAACTGTGTGGAGAACAACAGAATTCAAAATGGCCACCCTTAAAGGGGCAGGCAACCTTTTTTTTTTTTTTTGGTCGGTAACTTTCCCCTGACCCTTTTTTTCTCAATAACTTTCTCCCCAACCCTTCTTCCCCCCCACCTTTTTTTTTTTTTTACTTAACAAAAAATCCTTGGTGTTCCTCATAAAACAAATTATTGTTTGGTGTTCCTCGGTCTTAAAAATTTTAAAAAACACTGCATTAGAAGGTGTTTTCTTTGTGTGATATTTTCCGTGCACTTGTGCTAACCACTAGAGGCCGCCAGCTGAGCACACTGTTTCTTCTGGCAAAAGCCGGGAAGGAAACACTCTTGTTTGGGCTTGGCAAGAGCTGAGATTCTTCGGTCTGTTTTGAAGAGTATGTTCACCACATGCCGAGAAGTTTGTATTCTCTGGATTCTTTTCACTGCCTGACCTCCCTTAGCTCCCCGTATAGCAGGGGGGGTCTTGCTTCCTCTGTTGATCTGTTAGAGCCAAAATATTATCCTTCCCCAGGTTGTCAGTCAAACCTGTTGTTACGGGGCACAAACTGATCACCAGCTGGGGTTGGAAAGACAATCCCTCCCAATGAATAGTGTAATTAATACTATGAAAATTTTATACATTCCTCTGAATCTTCCAGCAGTGGCCACTTCCAGAGACTAGATACCGGACCAAAGAGATCAGTGCTGCCTTCCAAATATCATGTTTTCTGTGTTCCTCCAGGGAAAGTTTCTCTGTTTCTGCATTTATAAGTAATGCTCAATTTCGAAGCATGGTTCTGTGTGTCTATGGGACTGAGAGACTTGCTTTGTAACATGCTGTATCTGATAAAAACGAGCTCTCCTCAAACATCCTCTATTTCCTTCCTGTAGGTGGCTCTCTTGGGTTCGTTAACAGTAATTTCTGGTTCCATCACATAATTTGCATTTTGTATTAGCATAGGGACAGGATGCCTGACTCGAAAAGATTTGGGGGGGGGATGATGTAGTGGGGCATCTTGCCGGTCGCTAGGCTTGGGCTGTCCCCTACTGGCCCTGTCTGTTAGCACAGCCCAGCAGGGGGTCCAGACACTGCCCTGACTGGTTCTGACGGGAGGAAAGGAGGTTGGAACAAAGGAAGTACGAGGGAGGGGGAGGGCGAGAGCTAGTCAGGGGCTGGAAACATGATGGAGACAGTCTGGAGGGGGCTTGGAGACTAGGGGCTCAGGCAACCCACCGTAAGAGTTCTGGGGCATCCTATTGCCACATCACATCTATGCTGTGCTGTATTCTGGAAACTCAAGAAACCCCTCTCTACTCTGCTGGCTGGTGGAGACTGTTCTGGCTGCTGCGGGGGTGCCGCTGTCACAGGAGGTGATTGTCAATGAGAGACAGCCCATCCCAACATACTGAGGTACTTGTGTATTCTCCACCGTATGCAGAGAGCTGAAAGGTAGAATGTTTCAGGAAATTTTCCAGGATGTGCTCAGCACGGCTGTGCACCACCTACAGTTTTTAAAGTTTGATTAGGCCTCAGCTGGAGTATTGTGTCCAGTTCTGTGCGCCACATTTCAAGAAAGATGTGGAGAAATTGGAGAAGGTTCAGAGAAGAGCAACAAGACTGCTTAAAGGTCTAGAAAACATGACTTGTGAAGGAAGACTGAAAGAATTGGGCTTGTTTAGTTTGGAAAAGAGAAGATTGAGAGGGGAATAATACCAGTTTTCAGGTACAGCCGCTCCCCAAGTTGCGAACGGTCGAGTTACGACCATTCGCAGTTACGGCCAAAGCTCCCATAGAGCGGTCGTAAAGGCGGTCCCCGAGTTACGAATGCGACCCGCGCTTACAAACAGCACAGTTGCGTGTAACTCAATGGGATCCGAGTTACGAACAGTTCGAGTTACGGACCAAGTGTTGAGCGAGGAGAGCGGCCGTATCTAAAAGGGTGTCACAAGGAGGAGGGAGAAAAATTGTTCTTCCTCGCCTCTGAGGATAGAACAAGAAGCAATGGGCTTAAACTGCAGCAAGGGAGCTTGAGGTTGGACATTAGGAAAAAGTTACTAACTATCAGGGTGGTTAAACACTGGAATAAATTGTCTAGGGAGGTTGTGGAATCTCCATCTCTGGAGATATTTAAGAGTAGATTAGATAAATGTCTATCAGGGATGGTCTAGACAGTACTGGGTCCTGCCATGAGGACAGGAGACTGGACTCAATGGCTTCTCGAGGTCCCTTCCAGTCCTAGTATTCTATGATTCTATGAACCCTGTACAAGGAGACCTCACAATGAATATTAGCTCAGGAAGAATCTGATACATACATAGACATTAGCACAAGAAAAAACCTGCTAAATCACAGTGCATTCTCACAGCCTGAATGGACAAACCAAGATTGTTCTCCTTAGTTTATAATCCAGACCAGTTTTCAATTATTCAGTTGTGGGCCTTCCACCACTTCCCTGGGGGTACTACCATACAATGTGACAGACTAATCTGAGCACATGGCTTTGTGTTTAACCCAGTAACAGATACCATGGAAAAGTCGGATAGAGGAAATAATTTCCCAGACACAGGTTTCTTGATTGCATCAGGCAAAAGCAAAGTTTTATTACAGATACTTTTTCATCAGATGGTAAATTACCAACCACGGTACAGATAACTCAAGTAAGTAAGTATTGTAATTAGACACACAGAGAATTGCAAAAGAAAAGAAGCAAATAGCATAATAGGCAGGAAGGTGGACCAAAGATCAGATGGGCCCCTTAGAACAGAAAAGTTGATGTTAGAAACCTTGAGTAATTCTAAAGAGCACTTCTCCAACTCTGCCTAGGTCCACAGCGAATGCATTAGGTCAGCTCTCTCTTTGTCCCTGGGTGGTTCTTTGCTTGGTGGGTCTTGCACTGGAAGATGCTGGTTTCTCTGCTTAGTCACAGATCTTTCTGCCGTGTCCTACAGAGGGATAAAGAGAACCGTTACTTTCCTTAGAGAGGGTGTAAACCTTTCCTGGAAAGTGAGCGTTTGACAGTAGCTTCCCTCTCGTCCTGTTACTGAGAACAGGACTAAAGAAACATTCCCCCTGATACCCGAAGTCAGTGCTCACCCTTCTCAGCAGGGTGGCAAGGCGGGACATGGGGGAGGCAGTGGGAAGAGGTAGAGTAGCTGTGGGATGATTTAATGACAACGCCTCCTCCTCCTGCGCATTTACCAGCTCCACTTCCGACACCGATCCCTCCTTCCGGAACACTGTGGCAAGGAAAGAATGTCTGGTGAGTGGAACAGCAGCCAACCCTGCAACAGCATTGTAGGTTCAATGAAGCCCTGCGACTACCTGTCCTCACCCACTACCAGTCCCGCAAAGAGCCAGGACCCAACCCGTACACCTCCCATGGCTTTCTGCCAGCGCCCTTGCTCACATTTTCCATGCAGCACAGCAACAGCACATCACTACAAGGCCAGCCGGTCTCCCTATTGGCTTTGCCCCCCAAAGGATGAATTAGCTTCCATTGCTGGAGAGTTTTTACACAGATTCTGCTCTGGACCTGGCTTCCAAACCAGGAAATCTTTGCCTCATTAATATTGGCTTTGCCCCCCAAAGGATGAATTAGCTGTAGGCTTCCATTGCCGGAGAGATTTTACACAGATTCTGCTCTGCACCTGGCTTCCAAACCAGGAAATCTTTGCCTCATTAATGAGCTGGCTGGTTTCAAAAGCAAATGGAGTTGGGGACATGCCAGGTGCTTTGGATAAAAGTAGGAGTGACTGAACTTTTCGCAAAAGCTCAGGCTACATCTTTATGCAGGGACGAGCATGTAGGTGTTTGCTTTATTCCCCACTGGGTCTGTAGCCTACATACATAATGTCACGCTGTCCTCCTTCCAGCAGGCAGCGGTAAGTGTGAATCTCCTGCTCCAGTCGGCATTTGACGTCCAGAAGGACCTTGTACTCGTGATTCTGGGACTCAATTTCTGCGCGCAAGTCAGACAGCTGCTGCTCCACACAGGTGATCTGTTGTTGTAACTGGCACAGGTGGGCGTTGTAGCGACTTTCGGTTTCAGCTAAAGAGGCTTCCAGGTTGTCCCGCTAAGAATTGAAGGAATAAAGCCACATGTACTTTAACCAGGCACCAAATTAAACCCATTTGGATGCATAAAGCTGGATATTTCCAATGCAGAAATTAAAGCAAATTGTTGCTAACAGTCAGTTACATCATCACTGCTACGTAGAGGAAAGGCCTGGCTGGTCCCCTATTAGTCTAGAAATCCAGGTATCAGTGTGTCATAGGTGAGCTTTCAGTGATGACAATATCCCTACCTGGCTAAGATGGGCTTGCAGATCAATCTCCAGGCACTGCAATTGACGTCGAAGTTCGGAGACCTGATTGTTGCACGACTCCACCTCCTGACCGCTTGTGATGACCTCACGATTCACCTCCTCAATCTGAGAAACAGACACACACAATAAAGAGCATCAGAGGGATTTTTAATTGTCCGGTGAGTCTAGTGAATGCACAAAGCAGTGGCTAAAAATACATGTAAGACAGATGGGATGGGCAAGTTTTCTGCACACGGGAATGAATCCCATCTATTGATTGGAACTCCCCTTGTGATTCTAATGCTACGGCTCCTCACAGCCTCACCTGTGATTCTCCTTTGTCCTAAACTAGAGGTTCGCCCACTGTTCCGCCAACACACCTCAATAATGACATGTAGCAAGCCCTGTTATTCCAGGAGAAACATACACTGTGTGTACGCTGGGCCTCCTTCCCCTATGCAGAGGGCACTACACATCCAGGCAGATCATATTTAGAACATATGAAACAGGAATAAAATCTCCCCACAGTGTGCATATGTGATTCTGGAATAGCTCCTGCATTTTCACCTGAGGGAGTTATCATCATGAAGGACTTACCTTGCATTCATACCAATCCTCAACCTCTTTGCAGTTTTGAGCAATCATTGTTTCATACTGGCACCTCATCTCGTCTAGGATTTTCTTCAGATCTGGTCCAGGACTGGAGTTGACTTCCACACTGACGCAGGAATAAAATCTCCCCACAGCGTGCATATGTGATTCTGGAATAGCTCCTGCATTTTCACCTGAGGGAGTTATCATCATGAAGGACTTACCTTGCATTCATACCAATCCTCAACCTCTTTGCAGTTTTGAGCAATCATTGTTTCATACTGGCACCTCATCTCATCTAGGATTTTCTTCAGATCTGGTCCAGGACTGGAGTTGACTTCCACACTGACGTCGCCAGTGGACTGGTTTCTCAGACAAATGATTTCCTGCAAAGATAGCCCAGATCAGCTTGGTTAAAAAGATTGAACATATGAGTTGAGTTCTTTGGCGCGTGAGAGCAGCATGCCGCTGTCAGGGAGCCGCTAATCCTGATGCCCATTTCAGACACTCACAACACCTGTCTCTTCTCCACTGAGGACTTCCAAGCTAAATTCTACATTGAATGCTCCTGAGGTATTAAAACCAATGAGTGTTTTCAGGGATGTGTGGTCGTTAATCACAGCCAATTAATGTAATCTTGACTAAAAACCAATGGGTATTTTCAGGGATGTGTGGTCGCTAATCACAGCCAATTAATGTAATCTTGACTATTTTTACTTAGACAAAGGACATTTTTTATTCTTCATTTCCGCCTGGGACTTTGTGTCCCTGGATCATGCATAAAGGCTGTTTTCCTATGATCATTTTTACATTACACTTTCCAATAGTTTATATTTTCACAACAGTTACCATTTGTGTGTCTTTTCTATACACCAAATCCAGTCAGCCCATTTTTACTGCCATGTTTGGTGCACACATCCCTTAGCAGAATTAAGTTTGATGAATGAAAGTCATTTCCCTGAGTAGGTTGCCACTAGTGTAACAGGCTCCCTTATCTTAGATCACCTTTTGACAAAGAAGTAAATTTTCAGGTAGATAAGTCACAATATATTGGCTCTTTCTATATTTTTCCTTTTATATTTACATTTTCAGGGAAGGGAGTGTGGTCCAGTGGTTAGAGCTCCTTGCCTTTTGTTTCATGGGTCTGCTACTGCATTTCCAAAAGATTTTGAACAAGATATTTCCCTTAACCATTTCTTGGATAGCCTGGCTTCACAACACAGCGAATAATACTAGCAACACAGGGATGTTCTAAATAGTGATTAGTTGCTTATGAAGGGTTTTGAGTTAAGTTCTGTGGATGAAGTATAGCAAAGAAGAGACAAGTGATATCATCAGCCATTGGCAAAGCTGCTGCATGGTTTATCCAACTCGCTGCTAGTGTCTGTGATAGCGCTCTCTCCTTCCCCTTTTACAGGGCCCAGGAGCTGCCAGAAGCTTCACATTCCTTCCCATGGTTCCTACATTGCTCCCAAACCTTAGGGGAAGGACCTAGCCTGCTTGCGACAAATACTCCAGCATAGGACCCACCATCCTTGTATGTTACATACGAATGAATATGATTAGGAAACGGGTTTGGAGAAAGGAGTAATACGGCTGCAATGCAGATCATATTCTATTGGCTGTAATGGCAGTATTCCATTCATAGTCTATTGGCTGTAATGGAAGTATTCCATTCATAGTCTATTGGCTGTAATGGCAGTACTGTTGGGGGTTAGAATCAAATTCAGAGCCCCGCTGTAAGTAATATGCAACATACATTGTGTTAGCTCAATGGGACCCTACCTCCTCATGGTTCTTCTTCAGACAGCACAGCTCTTCCTTCAGGCATTCGAGCTGCGCCTCCAGGTCAGACCTGCACAGGGTCAGCTCATCCAGAACGCGGCGTAAGCCGTTAATATCAGCCTCCACACTCTGGCGAAGGGCCAGCTCAGTCTCATACCTACGCCATGGACAAGAAGCACAGAAAAGTCAGCCCCCGAGCCCACCGCTCAGGCATCCTGGCAGGCTCTCTCGGATTATATTGAGTTTGCGTGTCCCTTCTGCCAATGTTACGTCTCTGTCTGGGCTTAAATAGAACACAGCCTGTCCGCTGTCCGGTCTCTCTGGGTGTTCAAAGGCAGGGTCTAGGATTTTGTGTTTGCTTCATAAAAGACCTTCTTTACTATACTGCTACAAGACCTCCGTTCTCTGCACTTGCCCTGGGGAATAATCTGAACTCTTCTTTTTTTTAAATATCGGTGGGCCGGACTCTCCACTGATATAAATCTGCGTAGCTCCATTGCCTTCAAGGGATGCATGCAAACTTACATCACCTGTCCCTATATTTTAGCCCCCTCAAGCCTCACAACCAACTCTTTGCTTCAAACTCTCTGTCCTAGAAATGCCCCTCTTCTGGGCACTTCTAATATCAAAGACAGAAGGCACATGTCAAATTCGAGACCACAACCTGTGAGATCTCTTATTCTCTTACATTGGTCTTTACGTATCCATTGATGTCTTGTACTCTGCTGGGATTATCGGCTCTTTCAGTGGGATGTATAACAGTTTGACTTGTGTGTATACAGTGCTAGCACAATGGGGTTCCGGGCCTTCACAGAACTTAATAGCTGCTGCTCTAATACAAATAATTTATAATAATAAAATCCCCCACCCCTTGGGAGATTTCTTACTTTGGGAATAGGATAAAAGGGGAAAGTGGTGAATGGTTGTTTTTTGTAGAGAACGGTACTCACTTCAGTCTGAAGTCATCAGCTGCCATCCTGCTGTTATCAATGTTCAGAATGATCTTGTTGTTGTCAAGGGTTGCACAAACAATCTGGAAAAGAAGAGGGTCCAGGAGACTCTCAGCCCTTAAGTCTCTTCACGCACTTACACTCAGTGTCACATTGCAAATTTCAGTCTCCGTACTCTCTCAGTATTCAATTTCCGATAGAGAGGAAGCACAGAAGATTTCAGATCTCAGGAGAAAAATTTGAGAAATATCCGAGTGTGTGCAATGAAATAGATAAAAGGAATAAAGTTGCAAAAATACAGTTAAAATACTAGTGACTTTGAAATTATACTTAGTGCTCTCTGGTACCTCCTATAACAAACCTCTCATTTTCAAAGTTGGTCTAGAGTTCATTCAAACCCATTGGTGACAAAGTATTATATTTTTCTTATTTTTTAGGGGAATATTCCTCTTCTCCACCCCTACTTTCTATAGAAGCTCAAACTTGGTTGAAATATAATTAACATTTTAATTAAAATCTGGGAAAACTGATGATAAGATAAAAGGTAATAATGAGGATATTTCAGTAGATTAATGAATGAATTTATCTTTTCAGCTTTGTTTTGGTCATAAATATATTAAAACATATTTTCTCAGCTGTATTCCCCAAGGTAAGATCTTCACTTGAGCCTGTGTTCAGATCCTGTTGCTGTTCAGAGAGGCATTATTTCACTTTTGTAAAATGTTCTTTGCAGACATAAATTTAAGGCAACTGCTCTTATGAATATGAGTGAGGGTGTGAAAACTCCTGAGTCCATTCACAATCAGCCTTTTCTCGGCCAGGCTTGTACAAAGAGGAAAAGGTTACATAGGCAGGGAACAATCTAGACCTGGTCAGTGCACGTGCAGGAAATGTGTAACAGGATATTTACCTGATTTTGAAGATCTTCTATTTCCTTGTGGTAGCAGCTGTAGTCCTTTGGTAAACCAGAGTGCCCATGCTGGGCATACCACTCCCTGATTTTACACTCGAGGGCAGCGTTTTCTTCCTCCAAGCATCGCACCTTGTCCAGGTACGAAGCCAGGCGGTCATTGAGGTTCTGCATGGTCAGCTTTTCATCACAGGTGACAAATGCACCATCTCCACAAACACCACCGCCAAGAAAGCCACCACTGACTGCAGCACCAAAGCCACCACCAAAACCACCTCCATAGCCACAATGGGAAGCACCACCGCTCAACCCAACACCAGGACAACCTCCACAGCTGTATCCTGGGAGACCTCCACCGAAGACACCTCCACAGCTACCTCCAGAAAAACTACCAGCACCACCACTAAAACTCCTGCACGAAAAGCCTCTACCACTGCCTAGCCCACAGGAGCCATATCTCCCAGAAGACACGGAAGAGATCTTTCCTGCACCACCACCTCCAACCACGCAGCTACCACCACTACTCTTTCCTTTGGTAGCGAGAGTAACAGTCTGCTTGGTGCTGTAGCTCATAGTGACAGCAGTTAAGAATCCAACCCAAAGCCCAAAGCAAGAGGCACAGCTTGATACGAATTCAGACTGCACGTTTTCTGTCCTCACTGATCACTATTTATACCTTCCCCAGTGGGAGTCACCAATAGGGTGTTTCTTCTTCCCATGGGGATGGCTAGTCTTGCTGTTTATGCCAAGGATAATTCCCCAAAGGCAGTTTCCCTCCAGAAATCCCAGTACACAAGGACGTTAATTTACACTTTAGCAGCTAGGTCCAAATATACACTCACAATGATATTCCATGAATCATCAGCTTTTTTTTATGATGAATATTTTACAAGAAGAAGCCAGGAAAAACACTGCCCTAAATTATATACAAGGAAGAAATAATGCAACTTCTTACAACAGAGTGCGCTTTATCTGTTATTATTTAATTTCAATTGTTTTACTTTACTAGCCTGTTTTCCATATGAGGTGTTAGGGTGTAGACATAGAAGATCAAAATAAATGAATGAATAAATATGTAGTCATGCTTTAGTAAAGTGAAAACTATGATCAACCTCTTAATGGAAAGATCTGAGATACCGTGACACAGATATTCAGATCTTTCCTTGGTACATTGGTGGATCTGAAGTTCAGTACACTTCTAATACATAAAATTGTTAAATTGTGGCAGTTGAAGAAGTGGAGCAGGGGTTCCCAAATATAGTCCATGCATCCCAATGAGCCACAAAGAACACTTACATGTAGTCTGTGGAGAGCTGGCTTATTAATTGGTTCCTCCTTCACCTTGGGTTAAGCTGGAAACGGTCATTAAAATAAGTGAAAAATTTGTGAAATACTTTCCTAATATTACTTTCCCCGTATGAGCAATTGCTGTAGTTGCCACCAGGTTGTTTTGTGCCTCTGAGTTGAAGGGAAGATGTTCCATGCAGTGGTGAATGGGTGTGGGGTTGTGTATGGCCAATTTTTCTGTTAATATGTGTGTATGGAAAAATTCTGGAATTTATGATATAGAGAATGTAATGTAAAACTGTATTGCTGATAGTGCCAGGGGATGGACTAGATGTGACCAAATAGGTCTTTTCCAATACTAATGTCTACAAATCTATACTGAGCAAGAAATTAAAGTGGGAAGAGCTGTCCTCATTTCTGAACGTCATAGTAACTGGTGCCAATACATTCTGATTTGCTCCGAGAGCGCGGGCAGCAGTACCGCTGTGATACGCAGGTGAAAACTAGAAGAAGATCTAGAGAACTGACATACTACTCAAAAGGCCAGTAAGGATACGTCTACACTAGCTCGTTAGTTCGAGCTGGGTAGGGTAATGAGGGCAAGCGGAGTTGCAAATGAAGCCCGGGATTTAAATATCCCGGGCTTCCTTTGCATGTTCCCGGGGGCCACCATTTTTAAATCCCCCTTAGTCCGAACTCTGTGCCTGCGGCTACACGCGACACGGAGTAGGTAGTTCGAATTAAAGATCCTAATTCGAACTCCCGTTACTCCTCACTCTACGGCGCCCGGGAACATGCAAATGAAGCCTGGGATATTTAAATCCTGGGCTTCATTTGCAACTCCGCTTGCCCTCATTACCCTACCCAGCTCGAACTAACGAGCTACTGTAGACGTACCCTAACATCCTAATGCTAAAATCCTTTTCTTTTCAAGCGCACAAAGGTGCACGTTCCCTAATAGATGGACATTTATAAGCAGCTATTCATTGTAATTAGACTTTGTCTCACCTTCCCTTCCTCCCCAGTGAGCACTGTAAGGGAGAAGTTGAGATGAACCCTCATTTATATAGATTGTGCTGCTGTTAGAGAAGGTGTCAGCTGCCACTCCAGAAAAGAGGGGCTTCTTTGCAAAATTAGTAGGATTATTTACACCCAGCCAGAATCAGTCAGCTCCCAGAGGGACAGGAACTCAGGAAAGAAGCAGAACTCCCCACCCAGCTGCTAAGGGCCTGGGAAAGGCGGCCAGAGGGGCGGGAGGGAGAGGGGGAAGCTGCCATCAGCAATCCTTTTCCCGGCTGCAGAGTCCATCTCCAGGTTCAGGGAGCCAGGCATTGGGGGACAAGAGATTCTCTAGCATGAGATATTATGCTAGGTTCTGCAAGCCCTAACATAGGCTATGTCTACACTGCAGAGTTTTTTTTTGAAAAACAGTTGTTTTTCCAAAAAAAAAAATCCCTTCACTTATGTCCACACTGAACTTGTGTTCTTTCAAAAAAAGGTTGAAAGAACACAGGAGGTTTTCCGACATTGGTAAACTTCTTTCTACGAGGAAGAACCCTTTTTACAAAAGAGCTCTTTCAGGAAAAGGCGTGTGTGGATGGGGAAGAGGGAGTTCTTTCAAAAGCAGAGGAAAGAGGAAAAAGCACAGGTGCCCTAGTGGCCACTCCATCCACAGTAATCACAGCTTAAACACAAGATAGCGTCCATTCAGTGTGGACTTTAGTTTTCGAAAAAGCAGATCACTTTTTCGATGTGCTTTGGCAGTGTGGACTTTCTCTTTCAGAAGTTTTTTCAGAAGATCTCTTGTGGAAAAGCTTCTTCCGAAAGAAGCCTGCAATCTAGACATAGCCATATTTAGGAGCATTCAGAAACTCTCTGGGGGTATGTCTACACTAACCGGAGTTGCAAATGAAGCCCGGGACTTGAATTTCCCAGGCTTCATTTGCATGTTGCCGGGCGCCGCCATTTTTAAATGCCGGCTAGGTCGGACTAGGTAGTTCGGATTAGGCTTCCTATTCCGAACTACCTGTACACCTCGTTCCTACTTGAAAGTAGGAATAAGGGATCTTTCGGAAAAGGGTTTATTTTCTGCAAGATCCTGTCTAGACTGGCGCTTTTCTCCGGCAAAACCCCGGGCCGGAAAAAAGCGGCAGCCCTGTTCATGCAAATGCCGCGGGGGGTATTTAAATCCCCCGCGGCATTTGCAATTCCGAAGTGTCTCATTAGCATCCCTTTTTTGGAAAAGGGTGCCAATGTAGACACAGCCTCTGTGTAAGGAGAGGCTAAATTCATATATCATGTTGCCGTGCTGAAAAAGGGATTCCATAGAAATAAGGGTTCCTCCAAAACTTCTTGCCATTGTAAACACCTAATGCTCCAAGCCCTTCTCTTCTAGGATCTGAAGGACAGTCCCTCCACATTCACACCTCTCAACCATCTCCAGTTTGCCACTAGGAATAGCTATCTATATTACGAATTTGTATGGCTCTCATCCCATAATATGCTTCCCAAATATTTATGGGCTAATCATCATCCCATTTGTATAAATAAGGAAACTATGACCCCCCTTGAAGTGGATTGATTTATTTAGATTTTAAATGACAAAAGGGACATCTATCACAAGCCTCTAGGTGCCCTGCCACATTCGTTAGTTATACCATACATGGGAACCCCCAATAATCAGTGTACAGGCAGATGAAGTGACTTCCTCAAGGTCACAGTATGAAGCTGTGTCAGAGCCAAGAATTACATGCACTCCTGAATCAGTCAACAGTGCCTTAAACACAAGCCCATCCTCACTTCAGAAATGTGCCCTATTCACTCCCCAAGCGCCAGTCAGCAAAGACACAGTTCCGAGGAAAGCTGTAAAGAGGAAAAACAGCTTTTCATCGTTTGTACTTTGGAGTATAATTGGAGTCAGGGTGAGGCTCTGAGGCCAAACAGAAATTAATGTAATACTTTTATTGCTTTGGTTATGCTGTGTGGGCTCCCTGAAGGAATTACCCAGGAGCTGTCTACCAGATACAGCTTATGTGGATGGAGTAACATTCAGTTCCCTCTTTCAGGAATATAATTTCAGCATTATAGAATTCCACTTTCTTGTCAGCACAGCAAATCTTGCCTGAATTACTTGCAGCGCAAACAAGGAAACATTGTCAATACCACATTGAGGCCTGATTTACGTTAGGAGTTTAGGTCGAACTTAGCCGCATTAGGTTGATTTTCCAGACGAAGCCCGTTCTGTTGACTTTGAGGGCTGTTAAAGTCAATTTTGGTACTTCTGCTTTTCACAAGGGCTACATCTAGACTGGCATGATTTTCCGCAAATGCTTTTAACGGAAAAGTTTTCCGTTAAAAGCATTTGCAGAAAAGAGCGTCTAGATAGGCACAGACGCTTTTCCGCAAAAGCACTTTTTGCGGAAAAGCGTCCATGCCAATCTAGACGTGCTTTTCCGCAAAAAAGCCCCGATCGCCATTTTCATGATCAGGGCTTTTTTGCGCAAAACAAATCTGATCTGTCTATACTGGCCATTTTGCGCAAAAGCTTTGCCCAAAAGGAATTTTGCCCGAATGGGAACAGCATAGCATTTCCGCAAGAAGCACTGATTTCAGACAGTAAGAAGTCAGTGTTCTTGCAGAAATTCAAGCGGCCAGTGTAGACAGTTGGCAAGTTTTTCTGTAAAAGCAGCTGCTTTTGCAGAAAAACTTGCCAGTCTAGACACAGCCAAGGAGTATCAGTAAATTCAGTTGTACACGGTCGACTTTAGGGTAATGCAGATGCAGCGCAGTGAGAATCAACAGTTCTGACATCGGGGAGGTATCCCACAGTGCCCCCGTGTGACCACCCTGGTCAGCATTTTCAACTCTCCAGATGCACAGGAAGAGACCTGGGGAAATTTGAATGTAATTTCCTGATTGGCCAGCGTAGCGAGCGGACCTCAGAGCAGGCAGCACACCTGGCCAGGAGTTCCCAGGGTTGCAAACAAGCACCAGCATGGCATGGGCAGGAGATCCTGGACCTCAGTGCTGAGTGGAGAGAGGAATCAGCTCAGGCAGAACTAAAAAGCAACAAAAGAAACATAGATATGTATGCCAAGATCGGACAGCACATGGTGGAAAAGGGACCCAGGGCTCAGGAGTACCACGTGAAGATAAAGGAGCTCAGGCAGGCGTACCGGAAGACAGAGGAATCTGTGGATACCTCCCAAGTGACTCTTCAGTGACTCAACAGAGTGACTGAGGAGGAGGATGGTCACCAGGCAAGCAGAGCACCGGGTCTCACCGACAGCCAGGACCCTTTCTATAACTTTGGAGCCAGTCCCCTCCTCCCAGGACAGCTCGTTGCCAGACCCTCCACTTCTGAGGAGTTCACATTTGGAATCGTGCTACAAATGGGTTAAGGCCGTGGGGTGTGGTAGCCACTGTGCCCACACAGCAGGGGCTCCCCGACCAGCTTGTTCTGGAGATAGAGCAGTA